TTCTGGGCAACGAATTGGGCCTACGGCCCATTAAAAAATTGGGCTGTTACATATGTTATTTAAATAAAAAAAAAAATATATCTATATATATATAAAAAAGTCCTTATTTCTAAATCAATTTTAACATCTAAATTATATCCTAAATATTATGCATGTTGTGATTTAAAAAATATTTTAATTTCAAAGAATAATTTAAAAGAATGGTCCAATAAATTACTATTTTCAAAATTGAAGAATCATAAAAATTTTCATTAATAGGACAAAACATTATACGTAATTTAAAAATAAATGATATATACATATAATTAACTGAATATGAATTGATTTTTATTTTTTTCATTTGCTCATTTTAACTAATAGAATTATTCTAAAGGAGATGAATGATTTTTAAAAATCAGAGAAAAAACATGTGCCGTTTAAACAAATATGAAGTGGGTGCATTTTTCACTTTTTGTATTATGTTTTAAAGGTTTCATTAATGCATTGTTTTTGGTTGTGAGGTCCGTAAATTGGTTTGTTTAGGCTTTCTCTAAGACCTAATGTTTGGTTAGATGTTTTAATCTAACTCATTGACGCACCTCAATGAGAGTATTTAACCCCAAACTCCAATAGATCGTTGTATGTGTTTTTTTGTGATCAATAATACACTTGGGTGAGGCTACATAAAGCATTTCTTCCCTTGATTGGAAAAACAAAATTGTGAGCAATTAGTGGAAGACTTTGAAAATGCAAATGCTTCTCATTTTGAACAAGCCACAATGCTCACGATTTCGAAGACATGATTCCAATTTTGTTTTAGGATTTTAAAAGATACTTTTATTTGATAATATTTATTATAACTTTTCATTAAGGGTAGAAATGTCATTTTGTTTTTATTATTTAAAAATTGAATTATAAATAAATAAATAAATAAAATTACAAAAATTTTATAGCTGGTCTTAAATCCTAGATCATGGTAAATCATATGTTTACCTTGACAACTGTAGAACCATAGTTTTAAAAACCGAACCGGTCATTGAACCGGTTAAGGTACAGGGTCAGTGGGTCAAAGGTTGAACCGGTAGGTCATTAATTGAACTGCATGACTCGATTTTTATTTATTTTTATTAAAAAATATTCATATTAAATATATTTTATACTTATAAATTTTAATAAATTCATATCTTATTTTAAATTTCAATTTTTCTATCTTATTTAAAATTATTTTTATTTTTATTTTGTAAAAAAATATATAAAAAATTTACATGTTAAAC